AGTCTCTTTTGTGCCAGCTCATAACTTTTGTGCTACTGCTTGCTTTGATTAGGTTCAATGTTGAACCGCAACATTTGTGGATTGGCACACAAGAGACTATGACATAGGACGTCATAGACTTTGCATTAAGGATAGAAACAGGATAGAGGCGGTTTAATCTAAAGCTAGTTAGCTGAGAGTAGGCCTGTTTTACGATAGACCTGGTCCATGAAGCAAAGGCTTGACCATGAGAAGTACTCGGGGTCTATAGCCTCAAGTTAGTCTAGCAGACTCAGAGTGTGGGAACTAGCGCCTCATGGAGCACAGATGGAGTGGCATGGGTCGAGTGAAATACTTGAACCAGGGAGATAGCAGACGGATCCTACGGAGCAAGAGGGAGACTGACAAGACCTATGGAAGGAGGACGGCGTAGCAATAGGGCAGAATCTGACCAACATTCCCAGAACAAGGGTGTAGGAGTGTGAGAAAGCCGGTGTGGAGTGTGGATAGTTCTCATAAAAGCCGCTCCAAAGGGCACACCACACCATATTTAAATAAGCAAGTAAGAATTGTGATAGTGAAAGCATGATACAAGGATATAGGATCGCCCAGGCCGAAAGGAGAGATACTACAATTGTTTAGCTTCATTGTTGATCGACTTCACTTGTCTCTTTGACGAGTTGTTGTGTGATGCTAAGAATGTCAAGACTTACTGATGATGTCGACTATGGTCCCGGCGAAACGTCTGGAAATGTACCATGTCCATGGTCCGACTCTGGAAATTATCATGCATAGTATGGACTGCGGATTAAGTGCGTTTCTCTAAGTCTTCCTACCAATATGATTAAGTTGCGAAAATAAGGTCAAACAACTTCTATTCAACTAAAGGAGATTGTGACCACACAAAAAGCCACGCCATCTTGGTCTTCATACCTTAGAATAAATTCCTGACTCCTTGTTTCAGTTCTAAGGTGATTTCTCTTTTGTCTTTTGATATTTTGTTCCCATCTACTTCAGTAACTATACATGCTTGGCCTTAGACATACAGGTTTTGTGCTAGCACCCTTCCGGAGCTTTAGCTTGATCTAAGCTAATTTCCACTATAGACGATAATGTATTTTTGAGATAAAAGTGTAATCTACTGATCAACTCCAGACTCCTCTTCAATTCACTAAGAGTATTTAGTTATTTCGTATTGAACCAACTAGCTAACGATGTGCTATTCCGTTTCTTAGATTAAATTTCTAAGTGCCCAAATGAATGTCTGGATGAGCTTGCGTCTATTTAATTTATTATTTCGCAGATTATTCATTATTAATTTAGTTATCACTTTATTTAATATGCTTTGTAATATTTGTTGTTTTTTATTTTTTGTCATTATTCTACTTTTTACAGAATGGCCTCCGTTTCCTCTGGAGGATCTTGGTTTCGAAGATCTTGATGAAACTAACTTTTCTAAAGAGTTGGGCCTAGAAATTAACGATTCAACTCACCCTGAAAACGCTAGAACGAATTTTGAAGTATTAAATGAAGATGAATTTAGCAAGCTGATGCGGCTCTTTGGAGGTGCGTAATTTTCGCTACTCTTTTTTAGCTATTTAGAGAATAACTTTTAATAACAATTTCGGAAACTCCAGAAGCATTTTATCACCTATTGAACTTGGCTTGCTGCCATATTTATTTTAATTGCACTTTCGGTTCGGTATTTTCCATTTTCTTCAACGGGCGAGGACAAAAATATACGTAGATGCTCTGCAAGTGTCTTTTCCACGATACATTATTATAATAGTGCTACAATTTCCCCAAGCTAAGACGATATTCTGCTAATCATTGTAAATACATTCGAAGAGATAGGCAATACGCATGTTTGGAGTGATTAGAACAAGGCTTTATCATGCCTGTCTCTTAACTCGCTTCATCACTGACTCATTTTCCTTTAGTGAGCCCGATCTCCCGATTGAACCATTCAACGATATTACTTGCTTATCTCATCTATTGTTGAAACCATTGTTTATAAAATCGTATTCTATAACACTTCTTAATGCTATTCTTGCTTTCTCCTTTTGCGGCCCTTCTATTGTCCTTGATCTGTTCATAACATTTAGTATTAATGGACCTCAAGTATTTCGGTTTGTGCTATACTCGCTATCTCATTTTAATTTTCTTATACATATTTTTTTTTATGACTATTACTGGAGTAGCATTATTGCGGACTGAGACAATCTCGTTTGGACAAAATTAACTAGTTTAGACAGTAGATATGAAGACCAAGCTGGTGTTTGGTTTCAGTCTCATCTTCATGTTATAGCTACTTTTATTATGCCTATCAACTTCAGATTCAGATACTAGAATATGATATTTTACAGCAAACATCACCAGTAACTATTGGGTGGGGATGCAAGTGTATCTATCTATACAGAGGGTTTGATGAACAAGGACCAAAATGGAGCCTATATCTTCCTACAAACAGCACCTTACTACTTTGCATATTTTGTTATCCCTTTTAATCCGGCCGACCTCAAACAACTATTTTAAAGTTTAATTCTTATGCAAGATCAAACATAGGATTGCTACGATTTATAAAGATAAATATGTCATTATTTATGTTATATAAGATGCAAGGATTTCACAGCTCCATAAATATTAGTGTTTTTTACTTTAGAATCCCTTATAACTTCTCTACTTTGTTTAATTTCTCATCTGGGAAAATGTCTTGAGAAATATTGCCAGGTGATTGCCATTCGTACTCAGATTTTACGAATAGGGAAGGAGCTAATTCTATTTAAAATTATGAGTTAATTACAGCATTCGGGAAAGTATAGACTAATTTTGATATAATTTATTGCCCATTATTTTGTTACTCCTTCGAATTATTATCTTCTGAGCCACTTGCTGACACAAATTTCCCAAATGTTTCATAGACTCTATTTGTGAATAATATCGTGGGACTATTTGCAAGTAGTAATTTATTTGTCTAATGGATAATTTATTTAGGAATTCCCCATCCTATATCCTAAAATTTTGCATACTTTGTGGCTAGCCTGATTTGCCTTCACTATGCTTCTAGATGAGCGCCGTCTTTTTCATTATACTAGTCCTTTTCACGTATTTTTACGTCTTTTTATAGTCACTTTTCAAACTTACTTCAATCCAAGCGACTCTTCGATTGGCGGATCCTTCTGTCCTGGTCAGAACAATGCCCCTTACAATTCTAGTTTGGCTACCTCTGATCCCGGAGATAGCGACTTCGAGAGCGATTTCGAAGAGCTTGCTGGTGAATCGTTGATGCCCAATTCTGGCCTAGGTCAACGTGTTGGCATGGCTTCGCTTGGCGTCGCCTCACAATCTCCATCTTCAGCTCCTGTTCTTGCTTTAGACTTAACTAATGCCATCGCTCAACCATACTGCCAAGCAGGATCAAATGACGATGTAATGAGTGCCTCAAAATTTAGAATATCTAATAAGGCAGTGAAGAAGGATGAGCAATGTAAGGACAGTATGAAGACTACGGAAAAGACGATCCCCATCGTTACTGTTACATCATCAGTCGATATGGATCGACATACTCCGTCTCGCTTCACTAATAGAGAAAATGACTCGTCTGCTTCTCCAGGGCTAATAACAAAATTACCTAATGTTACTAATATTGTAGACACAAGCACTATTGGTGATACATCTACCGTTGCCTCTTCGAGTAAGGTTGGTCGATCTCGCTTTACTGATGAGCGTTTCGCATTCACTGTTGCCATCCAAGTTCCACAAGATGCATTGGCTCTCCCTCGAACATCACCTCCCGCTGACGTAAGCTCGGCTTCATCCGTTCCCACGTCGAATGAGCATGTCTCGTTGCCTGCTTCATGTTCTATGAACCCAGGCGGAAATCAAATTGCTGTTCCTTCTGGACCTCCCTTGTGCCCCCCAGAACAGAGACCTGCCGATGTGCTAGACCCGCTGTCACGAGTCAGAACAAAAGATCAGAAAACTCATCATCCTCTGGGCATACAGTTTCAGAGACGACCCAACTCTCGCTTGCTAACTCTAGACCCAAATGGTCAACGCTTGAATGAAATTCCATCGCTTCTTTTAACTTCTCAAGCGGTAAAAAAGGACGAACATACCAATCAAGCTACAGCTATTGCCCCTATAGCGCAAAAAACGAATCTTGAAGGAGATGCGAGTTATGTATCGGGGGTGGTTAAGCCAAAATTCAACAGTTTGACAGCAGTCAGTAGAGAGTCTGTTGAGCCGGCTGAATCAGGTGGACAAATGGCGAAGCAAAGAGAGAAAGCGGTAAGCTTTCCAACTGCTTAGATATCTACCCATGAATCGATGTTGCAAATTCTTTTAATTTTCGTATTAAAGTAGAAAAATTTTGTTTTTGTTTCAAAATATTTTTCTAATCCTTTTAATTTTTTTCGCCGGTCAGATTTATTAGCAATCATAGGAAAATACGATCTTCTAGGCACTTAGTTGAGCACATTATTGCTGTGATTGCGGATATCCTCGGGATAACTATCTATTGTGCTGGGCTTAATTTTCAAATGAAGGACAGATACACGCGCAAAGCATGTGTCTATGTGGCTTTACTGCTGTTGTATCAATGACATGTTGTTTAGCATCAAATGTTTACTTTTTCTCATTGAACACCATATCTTACAATATTTATAACTGACTACATCTTTTGCATGACTAGAGGCTTGTTGTATCCTGGACTATGGACACTGTCAGACTAGATGCATGGCTATTGTTGGCTGGTGAAATCAATATTATGATATATGTAAGGTCTAGAGTAGTAGCATGGCTAATTCCGACTGATGCCAAATAATGAACTTACTTCATCTTTGATGACCACATGCAAGCTGTTGTACAATTATATAGCGAATTAGCCGCAGCATTGGTGATACGTTTTAACTGGTTAGTAAACAAAAATACTTCCTTTCGAATAGATGCTAGATTGTGTTTTTTAAAATTATGTTTATGGGCCCATTTCGGATTAGGGTATATGCCTACTCAATCGTAACCCATTTTATTAAATATACATTTTATTTATGAAATTTTCTAACTTTATTTTGTTATCTATAGTGCTATTTATTTCTCTACTATGTTAATTCGAATACTATTTGTTATTGTGTTGGTCCGTTCTCGTTTTCACAACTCGGTCGGAGCGTCATGGAGACTATGTGGAACACACCTGGTCCTGTATTCTATGTTATAGCATTCGTGATTTCCAGCATCGGATCATTGATTCGGTACATTTTTTAAGTTTCCGCCGGCATCGTAATCGGCATTGCTAGGGAGAGGTGCCATCGTCAGGATACAGCTACAACGTATCCATATTGCAAGTAAAGGCAATCCCCTTAAGCAATTTTCTTTAAACCGTTGTGGCACCACTCCTCGCCCCTATTTTTGTTCTACCTTCTAGTTCTGCATCTCCTTCTCTCAGCCCCACTTCATATGGTCCATCTACCTATTCACACAATTCTGTGCTCTCCTTTCCTCCAATGTCGCCTAAGAATGTGTCGCTACAACTGGGTTTATAGAGCATCTCCACAACTGATACCAGGTTCCGTATGTAGCCCCCCCTTCCCCTACCCCGCTTGCTAATTGGTCGTGGCTAAGGCTCAAAATCACAGATCTTAGACATGATGATTCAGATGGTGTGGCTTGGGGATGCACCAAATCAATGGTCCGAAGCTGGAAATCACGAATACTGTGGTAGAGGAGACAGGACTAGGTACATTCCACAAGGTTTACCTGACATTCCGATCTAGTTGTAAAAACAAGGGCGAACCATCACTATCAAAATCATTGTATGAGATCTGGCTGCCTAAGAGCCTTCTATTCCCGTCCCAAATTACGCTATCTTCGAGGATTTAAAGAATATTCTGCTCATACTTATGCCAATACCTGTGTGTCTTCTTCTCTTAAAGCTTCGAACCCATGACTTAGTTACCCTCTATCCCCACCCCGTCTTCGGCTTAAGTCATAATCCCTGGCTTGAAAATGCATCAGGATTCAAGAGTCCCAATAGCATACGGTTTGCCGAAAATCCACAAATAAGAACAACGATTGAGACTGATAGTCAACAAAAAACACGAACCAACACAAATGGGCGAAATTAATCTGCCTTAAATTAAAAAAAGCGAATACCAGATTATAGAATGCAGATGAGAGCTTATAAAAATTTTACCAAAGAATCAAAGGCACCAGTTTGAAAGAAAACGAACTTGTGATGAGCTTTGTTGTACAGTCCATGTACACTAGCATCACAAGAGAAAAACACTCAAGGTACTATTGGAGTTCTTGGAAAAAGAAGATGATATTCTGAATACGGGGCAAATCCGTAAAGTGTCTCTTACCCGATTAATCAGGCTAACAACAAGAATAACTATT